ATTGTTCCAGAGAATGTCTGACGAGGATCGCACTGCCCTCTCCACCCTGGCTCAAGAGGCGAACTCTCTGGCACATCATCAGATGCAGATGGCCAAACACACGAGGGACACTGCGGGCAAGATGATTGCTCACGCCGTGGCAATCAGGAGGCATGCCTGGCTTAGATCCTCTGGCCTCTCTACATCGTCGAGGCAGGTGATCGAAGACCTTCCGTTCGATGCCCTGGGGCTATTCAATGCAGGAACGGACGACAAACTGAAGTCAAATCACGACTTCAAGACCTTGGCTTCTAAGTGTGGGTTCGAGAATCAGAACCAGGCGCAGAGGACCAGATGGTTCCAGTACAAACGCCGACACACGGTCCCGTACCGCACCATACAGTACCGCCAACCAGCCCGTCCCCTGCATACCTCCCAACAAACCCACCCTCAACAACCCCAACAGCAAAGGAGGCAGCACCAGCAGCAGCGTTCGTGGTCCCGTCAAGCTTCTGGAGGCAATCAGGCCAGGCGCCGCATTTGACGCCCTAATGGACGATACCGTTTGCTCTTTCGTTACAGATGTTGTTCCCATGTCCCTCCCAATGGTACCCGCCCTCATCCTTCCATCCTGATCGACACCATTCGGGGATCGCCTGACAAACTTTCTCCCTGCATGGGAAAATATCTCCTCAGATGCATGGGTTTTAAAGATTGTCGACGAAGGCTATGCATTGGAGTTCGAAGAGCTCCCACCAACAGGGCAGATTGTTGATACCGAACCATCCTCGGCAATTCTGACAGAGGTCGAGACCTTGCTTCTGAAAGGGGCAATTTCCCCTCTTCCGGACTCTCAAAACCATCGAGCCTTCTTCTCCAGGTACTTTACTGTCCCGAAGCCGGATGGCTCCCTCCGTCCAATCCTCGATCTCAGAGACTTAAACTCCTTCATCGAACCCCAAAAGTTCCGGATGGTGACGGTATCGTCCATTCTTCCTCTCCTCAGATACGGAGACTTCTTCGCGTCCGTCGATCTCCGGGACGCTTACTTCCATCTCTCAGTCAGAAAACATCACAGACGCTTCCTGGCCTTCAGGGTAGTGGGACAGACGTATGCCTTCAACGTGCTCCCGTTCGGGCTCGTGAAGGCATCGAGAACTTTCACCAAATGCATGTCGGTGGTCGCAGCAGCCCTCAGAAGGGAAAAAATCCGCATTTTCCCATACCTAGACGACTGGTTGTTGGCAGCACGCTCCCCGGACCTCCTGCGAACGCAGGTGGCAAGGACGCTTTCCCTCCTCGAAGACCTGGGCCTCCAGCTAAACGAGGAGAAATCTCATCTCGAGCCCACCACTTACATAAAGTTCATCGGCACCATGTTCGATTCTCTCTCTCAGTCAGTTTTCCTTCCAGAAGAGAGATTCAGGGCTCTTCGAGCCGAAGCACTCAAAGTGCGTCGAGCCCGAGTGGTCCCGGCGAAGCAGATTCAGGTCCTCCTCGGGCATATGGCCTCCACGGTGATGGTGACACCATTGGCGAGACTCCGCTTCCGTCCCCTCCAGAGATGGTTTCTGGACCACTTCAATCCCATGCGGGACAGTGCTGCGAAGCGCTTGCTGATACCAAAGTCGGTAAAGGACTCCCTGAGCTGGTGGATGAATTGCCAGCATGTCTGCAGAGGCATTCCATTCCACCCAGAACCCCCAGCTGTCACGATCACGACGGACGCCTCGATGTTCGCATGGGGATGCCATA